TTTTTTCCAAAAAAAGGGGGAAAAAAAGATTTTTTTTTTCAAAAAAGAACACAAAAAAAAAAAAAAAAAAAAAAAAAAAAAAAAAAAAAAAGAGTCCAATCAAATCAAAATGGCAAAACAGCATCTGGGCAAACTGGCATGAACTCTAAAAATGCGCTCGCAAAGTAAAGCCAAGCAATAAACAGAGTAGGTATTCTAAATGGCTGGGGCTTATAGCAAAAAGTCGACAAAAAAAAAGAAAATAATAATAATGGACTGGTAATTTTAGTCAACAGCGGGTGGCCAATAGCTTGGACCTGGAGTAAGAATAACAGTGTTGTGTGCATGGAGGAAGAGGAAGGGGGAGGCTGGGGGATGATGACTGTAATGACTGTTGAGGTTTCTTAAGGCTGAGTCTCTGCGCACAAACTGAAGCTGAATTACACACAACAGCACTGCAGATGTTTTTTTTTTTTTTTTTTTTGTGGTGAAATGAAGCCGCACTGACTGACCATCAAGTGGCATCACTTCTCTAAACATATTGGCTCTGTCTTCAACCACCACTATGGAAGATGGTCTGTGTGGAATGGGTATAAAATTATCTAAAGAAGGTGTGAATACCAAAGCCTATGACAGATAATGTACCTTTAACAAAAAACAATTAGCTTCCCCAAGGTTAAATGAATTAATTATCGGGATAAAATCATAAATAGAGTTATATACCTTCTCCAATAAATAGTATTGGTAACCTATTTACAATATGCACACATCTCCCAAAGAGCTCATGCCAAAACACACATTGATCTGCCTCCCACAAAACAGGGATAACACAATGTGCGTCTTCCTACAATCTTTCTGTGCACAGTGAGGAGATTGGAAGTGATTGTCAAACTCAAGAGGTCATCTTGGGAAGCCGGAGGTGTGAAATCTTGGTTGATCGACTCATATCCTGTGGGAGGAAGAGATTCTACACGGCGTTCTCCTCGCTGGTCCTGAATTTGTGCGAGTTCCGAGGTGGACCTGGAAGAAAGAGCTGGATCAGAACTGAAGTGTGGCTGCAGCTGTCACTTTACATACGAGGCAGCAGACACGGAATCCGGGTCTTACTGTTGCAGTGGCCGTAGTGGCGGACTCCTATGGAGTGTCCGAGGAAGCAGGTGGCCCTGCGGAGGTGGCAGGCGCTCTGATAGGTGATGTTGTCGTTGCCACAGATCTGCTGCTCGGATGCCACAACGGGGCAAGGCGAGGTGCGGCACATGACGCAGTGGGCGCTGTTGGTCTGGTCGGTCACACAGGTGTGGGTTCCCGGACACACAACATTGGAGCACGACTCTGGAAAGAGAAAAAGGGGGAAGTTCTGAAAGTCAGAATTTGAAGGACAAGTTTAAAAAGGAATTGTGAACTGGATCTTAGACAGGGGTTGGTTACTGGTACCAAGGCTTACATGGTTATGCTTCCAACAGTGGACATCAAATTTTATGGCTGCGAAAAGGCTGGTCAGTGTTTGCCTTTGTTTAACTAAAATAATTTAGAAAAATGGCATTTACTAGATGTCTGATCACAGTTAGCAAAAATGCTGAAATTGGGTTTGGTTAGCCTTCTTGAACCATCCGAGCCACCTTTAAACAACATTAAAACATGTTGTATGGATCTCAAAATCATCTTTTTTTTTTTTATGTGCATCAATACAAAGACTGCCAACATTTTCCATAGCACTGGGGTTAAATTTGTTCAGTGAGATGCAAGAGAAAGTGTCATTATGACCAGAGTTTTATCCAAGCCTTAGGATCACACAGCATAATGCAGGAAGGCTGCTTACACTTTATGCTACAGAAACAACTCATTCAGATATTAAGAAAAATCTTGTTGTGAAAAACAGAAGAAAACCCTAAAAGAATTAGAACAATGATTGAAAATTTTAGCCACCTAAAGGAAATGTTTCTAACAAGACAAACTTAAAACAGTTCATTTAAGCTGAACTCGAAAGCAACAAGAATTTATTTTTACAGCTCAATGCTTACTAAATGGGTTGAGACTCCACTTTTCCTCAACAGCCATGGCAATAAGAAGAAGAGATGCAGGAAAACGTAAATAAAATATTTTATAGTGTTTTTGTTGTATAGAAATCTGAAGAAATACCATTACATGTGGAAATAAGTGAGTCAGGAATTAGAAGTATTAATGTGTTTCTAAATTTCCAAATTGATTCATAGATCTAAAGATTGTCAATGTCACAGCAGAACGTCAAAAGATCACACATGAAACTCAAACAAACTTTGCAGGGGTTAATTCGCTGCTTTTGCCTACATCTAATAGGCAAATATGAGAAAATGTAAATGAATGTTACATTGCATTTGTTTGATTCTGATAATCAAATACCTTAAATTATTTCAGCAGTCATCAAAATGAGTCATGCGGTTCTGCTTTCGACGCGAGGAGTTAGCTCATGTTTGCAATTTTGTTGGAAGTCTTTAGTTTTCATGACGCACTGGTGACTTTTGACCTTCCTGCGAGATATTGCTTACTTTTGCACTCTCCCTGATACATGACTTCCAGGTCCGGGTGTCCCATGCAGCGGGCCATCAGCAGGGCACACTCATCCCGGTAAGACTTGCCGTCGCTGCCGCAGACGGCGTGCTTCCTAGGAATGTGAGAGCAGTCTGGAGAGCACACGCACTGAGGCCTTCCCATTTTCATCTTGCAAACCTTCCCGGGACTGCATTTGACACCCTCGCATGAGTCTAGGAAAAAAAAAAAAAAAAAGAGAAAGTGTATCAGTGTAATGTTGTTATATTAACAAGTCTGCAGACATAAGGTGGTGTTTTCGTCCAAAAGTAAGAACAAATGTGGGGCTTCCCCTGTCAGCGGGAAAATTTTCACCCTGCACAATATTTACAGTAACCACATCTCTTTATTGACTGTTGCACACAAAGGTGTCTCGTCTGGTGGAATGCGAGGCCGGCGTGTTTTCATAACAGAACTATGTGCAGGGCTGCGCACAGACTGACTCTGAGCTCCTGCAGGGAGACGGCGGGGGCTCTGAGGTAGACTGGGTTCAAATAGTTGTCAGAAAAGTTTACAGGCTGACAAACCAGGAAGCCCCCCAGGCCCTCCTAACACCCCGCATAATGTCAGTGCACAGGAGGAGGTGCAACCCTATAGAACGCAGAGTCAGCGTTAATCAAAGCACGCAGGACTTTTCAGGCTTTGAGGAGATCGGCCTGATAAGCTTCTGAGGAGTTCTGCAAAGAATCAGGAACTTATTTCCCGTCGCTAGCAGGAGCCCTCAGCTGTAACTTCTTGGTTGACTGAGATGTCGCGGCACACAACACGGTTATTGTTGATGCACTTGTGCGGAACTGACAGGTTTTTGTTCATTCAGCACTTATGATACCAAATGTTTTCCTCCTACGGCTTGATTCCCAGACGTGGGCTCAGAAACAGGAATTCCAGGCTGTGGGACTCCTTTTGTCGTTTGAAATGTACTTATGTTACTGCAAAGTGGAGAGAAAGTCCAAATAACTGTTTTTTTTTCTTATTCCCTAATAACTGAATAAAATATACATATGTATGTAATTAAAAACTGTTCTAAGGTAAAATGTACTTTTATACATTTACAGGTGAATTCGTTATTACTGACATTTAACACAAGCATGCTTCATCTAAAGCAAGTTAGCTGGAACTGATGAGAGTAACGTTTGAAGCTTATGGGAACAGTTGGAGCCATCCAGGTCTGCATTTTGTTAAAGCGCCACATCGGGAACTCATTTCCAAAATGTTATAATACAAAAAAACAAAGAAAACAAAGCGTTTTAAAGCACCAAGGGAGAGTTTTATTGACTAAAATTCAATGCAGTTTCTCTAAAGCTGCAAGACTTGCAATTTTTTGTGTTTTTTTTTTTTTTTTTCATATTTCAGCACTTATTATTTACTTATGCATTTACATAAATTTCAATGTATCTTTCAGGATCATTACAACCCTTAACATTTTTCTCAACACGGCTCTCTGAAGTAATTACCTGAAATCATTTATGTCAAACAAAAAAATTCTTTAGCCTTCCGTTTGTTTTTTTTTTATTTTTTTTATCATGAATAATTTATTTTACCTCTGCATGGTTTGCAGGAGACGATACCCAGGAAGCCCAGCAGGCTGACTTCATTCAGCGGCAGGCTGGTGTTGGACCACGCTGTGTCCAGGCGACCCCCATCACAGCACTCCTCTCTGCTCACCTCTCTCATCAGCACCATGTCACACCGGTGGTCTGGACCGTGCTGCAGCCAGCACATCCCCGCTGGAAACGGTTCATAAAGAGACGTGTTGTAAAAACAAAAACCCAAACGTTTAAACCGGCATCATGAATTATGTTGCATGTAAAATGTATATTTTGTTTTATTAAGTAACTTTCAATCTGTCAAAGGTGTAGTTTAATTTTTTTTCTTGTCTTTGTCTTTTTTTTCCTCTACAGTTTTTTTTTTTTTATCTAGTACAATCTAAAAAAATGACTGTGGTGATTTTAACATACGAGCTTCTGATAACATTGTTTTCTGTTTTTCACAGAAGCATATCTTTTATCCTGAAAGACAGATTAACTTTATAAAATATGTATTCACAAGTTTTAAAAAGAGAAACCGTCCACTCACCATCAACCGGATTTCTTCCAAACTGACAGAGAGAGAGAATCACGGCCAAAGCAAATATCAAACACCTCATTGTTTAAGCTGTCAAAAGACAAAACTGTTTGCGTAAAAAAAAAAAATAAAATAAAAAAAAGCTTCTCCAAAAAAAAAATATATATATATATATATATTTCAGAAAGCGTCAGCAAAAAAGACGTGACGTTCTTCTGATGAACAGAGTGGATCTCTAAAGCTTCACGCAGCTGGTAGTTTCCCCTGAAGTGAATGGATGTGTTGTGGATAAGTGATGTCGTTCCCCCTCTGCATAAATATTTAGCTCAGATGGAATTATGCTGCTGGGATGGGCGATCCTCTCAGCCAGTAATAAACCAGGGCAGGACAATTTGACTCTGACTCAATTTCCAGAGTCGGGAAATGATCCATGCCCTCCATCTCCAGGCAGAGAGCACTTAGGCGACCTCACAAAACATTTTGATAACACATTAGACTCATTTAGGTCAAGGAAAAAAAAATTTTTTTTTTTTTTTTTTTTTTTTTTTTGGAAGTAATTTCAATCTTTTGTGTGTTTCCATGCATAAAACTTAAAGGACTTCATGATTTTATTCTTAGTTGACTTCACAGGGTTATTTTTTTCCCCTCTATGCCATTCTTCAATATTCTGTATTCCACATTTATTTTCATGCTGTGTGGCTCAATTTTTATGGTGCCTTGCTAAAGTATGGTTTAATACCTAAACTTGTCTTGTGACATTACAAGGCACTGGAGGGATAAATACACGTGGCATGGCTGCAATTTCTTTATTTTAAATTTGAACATAGGAGGTATATTTATACTCAACTCCCTTTACTCTAACACGTTTCACTAAAATCCAGTGGCTCAAAAAGTCACCTATTTATTACAAAAGCCCTCCTGTGTGTAATTTAGTCCTAGTTTTTGGCATTTTTCCTGTTTGTGTATTGTCACAGACCTTGTAGAAAACTCAGAACTTTTTTCTGAAAAACATGATCTTGTCAGAAGAAAACAATAAGAAACTGTTTGCCTGTGGGAGACAACGTCTCTGCACTTCATCATCGTTACCATATAAAACACAGTGATGGCAGTATCATGAGGTGGGAATATTTTTGCTTGCTATAGTAGAAAATTCTGGTTAGAGTTAAAGGGAAGGTGGAAGAGTTGGAGGAAAATTTTACCACAAAATGTGTCCAAACAAACAAAGGCTGAGTTTTTGGCACTTAAAGTAAGGAAAAGCTGAATACTTTCTGTACTTTCTTAGCAGTATAACTAAAAACTCACTTTGTCAGCTTAAGAACTGTTAAAATGTTATCTCTGTCAGTATGACTCTATGGCGGTTGTAAGAATAATAGTATCAGTCTGCCGATGAACAAAACAAGCTATACAAAAAAGAAATATGTTGCATAGTGCTTCTTTCCCCCATTGTTAGGCTTTTGTCACATGTGGAGCACACGTGCAAACATTAAATATAGCTTGTACTTTGCACCTGTCAGCTAAACAGGACACGCGTGTTTAACTCAATCCATCTGTTAGAGCCTCACACAACAGGTGACTGAAAAATAATCTGTATTATCACTGTGTATGAACATCTGCCCTGGACTTCCCTGCTCCTGCACTCGTTCACCTCCCAGCTCTGCAGCGTGAGGTGATGACAAACTTATGTGAGCCTTGCCCATGCGTCTGTCACTGGTTTTAATTTTCCGCTTTTAATGCTCCCTTCTGATCTCCGCACAGGCAAATGAAGGTAGCATATGGTGTGCTATCTGTGTTTTGTGAATGATTTTGGCCTTCTGCAGCAGGGATCCCCAGGGGGGACAAAGGAATGCTGCCTGAGGTGGTGAGGACGGACGAAAAGAGAGCGGCGAGTGAAGACTGTGGGTGGCCTGCTTCTTCTCTGGGTCTCTGCAGATCTGCTCAGTTCATCATATGGTTTAGGTAATCTCTGTTAAGATGTGCAAATTAATATAGCACGGTCCCAACTTTGGCCCAACCTCAAAAGATAGGACTTTTTTTGATAAGTTGTCATGTGTCAGTTTGAAGACATTTAAATATATTTAATTTGTAAGGCTTTATCAATTATCATCAAACGCATCCGATACATTGCATCTCATATGTTAATGACAGTGTTATAGGCTACTGTACTTGTCTGTGAAGAAAAAAGGTAAAATTCACTGTTGCCATCTAGTGGAGGGAGCTGACATGCACAACATCGAATTTTAGAGCATCAGCTGACATTGGCAGACTAGCAAGATATTATATATATATATTTATATATATATTTTCCAACAGTTGCAGGATTGGACTGATCCAAAAACAAAACAACAAAATAACTTACTGTAATAGACTGCATGTCAGTTCACCAAACTTAACCTTAAGTACAGGTTACTTAGGCAAAGTTACCTGTACTGAATGCATTGCATGGATATGTATTTGGACTTTCTGGTGCAAGCAGCAATTGGCCTCGGTTTCCATTTCTCACGTTACTGAGCTGGAGCCGTAGATCACCAGTGCTAAGCATACTTCATTTTGCATCTCTGAAGATTGTTCTCTACTTCTTTGGATTTGGAGGGTTTTCCTCCTCTGCTGAGTTGGAGGAGGACCTGCATGTCCTACAGACGCTTTGAAGAGAAGGAAATGCATCTATTCCAATACAGACATCGAGTAAAGACAACAGTCACATCCAAACAATGAAAATAGTAGTAATCTTTAAAGTGCAGGTAACCCCAGATTTCACAGGCATGGCATTTGCAACTAATCTGAGAAGAAGGCCATCCTCAAGTACAAGCATGGATAGGAAAAGCATCATGTTGATCTCTAAAACAAATTCAATGCAGCAGTTGCCATGGACATGTTTTGTGTCCATTTCTAAAGAGCACAAAAATTTGTGCGGTGTGCTGCATCATCAAAAATATCTTCAGTACACAGATACATGAAGAAATCTACTGGATTTATCAGTAATAAACTCCCAGGCTGAATGAGAAACAACTTTAAATATCATTCTGCCAGGGGTGGAAATTATTTTGGGTTTAACTGTACATATTTGATACAAAATGAGGATGACATACACTGCATTTTCATGGCTTCGCACAAAGATGTTTAGTTGCAGTACACCAAAAAGTCCACATGAGGGTGCTCAAACGACGTTTTTCAAATTCCATCCCTTGTTGCCAGGGTTTGTCTTAGGTTGCCTAAGACTTTCGTCTACAGTCTCTTAAATATTATGCACATTTCTTTTCGTTTTGTTAGATAAACACGGCTCTTTTGTTCCCTTCTTGGACCTGATTCAATCCGATTTCTCCAAAAGTGACATTTTTTTTCTGCATTTGTATCTCATCTATTTGACATTTTCCAAAGTAAAGATCTTGCACTCCCCTGGGCTAATCAAGAATATAAAGCATTTGATCCATTTTTATAATTACTTTCGACAAGTCGGGGAAGCAGAAATCACGTTTTCCTCATGTCTAGGCTCTTGTTACTCATCTTAAGCCATGTTGTTGTGCACGTCACACAGCTAAACACAGTCGAGCAGTGGTAATTGTTCGCCTGCCCCAGGCTGGTTGAAAGCGGCTTCATCATCTATCCACTCAATTTACTCCTAATGTGTGTTACTGATTGAACCGGCAATGAGGGTTGGAAAAGTGACGAGGGCAGAAAGAGTCACCCCCTTCAGTTGTTCTGCGCTCAACTTTCCTCCTCTTCCCCCTCCTCATCCTCTTCTTTTTCTGCTTCCTTCCTGTGTTTAGTGTTGCAGACGTGAAGTCCCTTCAGCAGTTCATTAATGGGCATGGTTGATGTTGGTGCATGCTCCACTCATTTAAAAAGAAGCCTACACCCTCTCACTTCACCTTTCTCCTTCCATCCTCCCCCTCTGCCCCCCACTTCCTCGTTTTCTAGCCTGGTGTAACTTTTTCCGCACTGCCTAGGGCTCTCTGTGCTCTCTCACTCCAGAACCAGGGCAGGACAACGATGCAGTCGTGACTAAGGGTCTCCCGCAGAGGCTCTTGTTGAGTTCTGCCCCGGATCGCCTCTCTTCTCCCCAGTGTATATGGTAACAGCCCCTAATGTTCATCTTTCCAAAGATGGCTCATGGCTTTGCATTCGGGAGGACATGCGAAAGCTGTCAAGAGTGAACCTTTGAACTTGATAGACAAGCTGGCGTCTCCTTAACTGAATATAGATAGACCTAAAATAGTAATCATTAAAATGTTTATAGTCTGATCTCTCAGATGTAGCTTAGACGTACTGATGTCTAAACTGCATGCTGATGTTACAAATGAAGCCAGATTTCAGACTTTTTTGGGAATCAAAGAAAAAAAAATCTGCATCTCATAATAGCCTGATTAAAGTAGCTAATTTGTCAGTAGCTTAAGTCATTAGTTATTAAATATTCAAGGCCAATAATTCCCTTTTTAAGATAAGTGGATGTGTGCTGCATGTGCAGGAAATGAGATTTTCTCCGAGAAAGGATCTCTCCGTCCATACAAATTAGAACAGCATTGAAAAAGCTTTCTGTGAAACCAGTTTGGATTGGATCACATCAAGAAATTCTTTTTTTTTTTTTTTTTTTTTTTTCTAATTTTGGTGAATATGGCTCAACACAATTCTGAAAATGTCATATCTATGAAAATTATAACATTACAAAGGACAAATAAAAATGATTTCTAATACAGAGATTCTATTATCGTCTACTACACCATTGGAAACTCTGAACCTGATAGTTGTGCATCAAACAGCCATTTATACCTTTTACAAGGAGGGAAGGCCATATGAGGTCGTTTTTAAGGGAGCTGACTGTTCGTAGAGTGGAGGATCTCAGCACTCAGTGCAAAGAACAAATATGATAATGGCCCAATGTCAGCAATTCAGGTGAAAGTGAAGAAATCAAGATCCCTGATTTTGGAGTCTGATGAGTGGAAAGGAACAGAATCGAAAGTGCTTTTAGGATCAACTTGGGACTTGGAAATTACGACCTGCAAGTGCAAATAGCGCACAGATTTGTCGGTATCTTTGTTCAGTCAGTATCAGCTTTAGAAACTTTAACTAGAGCTCTGATGTTAAACAATGTGTCAAGACTGGAGAGAAGTACAATCAAAAGTTGAACTAACCAGCAAAGCTCTGCCCAAATTATCAATCTGCCGCTTTAAACGTCACCACGTGACCTTGGAGGCAAAAGTACCATCAATGAAATCAAAAACTTAAAAGCAATATCAAGGATTTTTATTGTTTTATATTTTACTAAAACATTCTTTGCATCAGCAACACTCCAGTTGCATAACAAACAC